ATTCTCAGCACAGCCCGGGGCCTCCATCGATAGCCACTGGGAAACATTGCAAACGCTGGCCAGGCGAGCGATGCCCGCGAGGTGCGCCACATTTGCCAGGTGCGCCACGCGCACCCGGCGCGCCACATTGGGGAATGTTGCGACCTCCGCATCATCTCTGTTAAAATCCCATTCGACATGATTGCGGATTTGCGAGCGCTGTGTATAGCGCGTGTGGGTGTGCCCCCGCAATCATTTTGCACTTGCTGTTGGCGGAGATAGAAGGCTTGTGCACAACAGACGGTATGCCCCCCCCCGGCCGCCCGCCTCTCGCAGGGTTGATCTATCCCAGCCACCAAGTGGTGTCGTGTCATCGTTTCGAAGAGAGCACCCCGCGTCTCGCTCCTACACTGGGGGCCATGCCAAGACACACCCTGCTTGTCTCCAGGGTGCCCTGAGTTTCTTGGGTTTCGACAGTTTTGCGACGCAGAGCGTGACGTGCCCACGCCAAAAATCAATTGACGTCCTGGGGTCTCAAGGTTGCGTTTCTTGTGGGAGTTTTCTTGTGGACTGGCCCCTACTGTACTTCCTACTCCTCGTCCTCCTTCTCTGGTTCGCACACCTCCTCCACACCATTTCGGCGCACCCCTCGCACGCTTCGTGGCCCCGTAGAGAGCCTCACCCGAGGCTCTGAAATCTGCGTCCGCATACCTGGTCCACGTTACTTCGGCGTTTTTTTCACACGCTTCGTGGCCCCATAGGGAGCTCCACCCAAGGCCCAAAAATCTGCGTTCGCAGGCCTGGTCCACACAATTTTGGCACATCCCTCACACGTTGCGTGGCCGCATAGGGAGCTCCACCTGACGCCCAACGGTTCTGCGTCCGTGCGCCTGCTGGCCCCATAGGGAGATCCACTTGCGGCCCAGAAGTATGCGTCCGCATGCCTGGTCAACGCCATTTCGGCGCACCTTCACATGCTTCGTTGTCCCATAGGGAGCTCCACCTAAGGCCCAACAATCTTTGTTCGCAGGCCTGGTCCACACAAATTCGGCGCACCCCTCACACGCTACGTGGCCCCATAGGGAGCTCCACATAAGGTCCCAGCGGTTGCGTTCGCATGCTCGGTCCACACCATTTCAGCGCACCCTTCACACGCTTCGTGGTCCCATCGGGAGCTACACCTAAGGCCCCAGTGGTTGCGCTTGAATGCCTAGTGTACACCGTTTCAGCGCACCCTTCACACGCTTCGTGGCCCGATCGGGAGCTACACCTGAGACCCCAATGGTTGCGCTCGCATGCCTTCCCCATACAATTTCGGCACATCCTTCATACGTTTCGTGGCCACAGGGAGCTCTTCCTAAGGCCCCAGCGGATGCGATCGCATGTTTACTCCACCATTTCAGCGCAGCCCTCATACGTTTCGTGGCCTCATGGGGAGCTGTACCTAAGGCCCTAGAGGTTGCGGTAGTGTGTCTTCTTTCTCATATCGGCGCACACCTTACGCATAAGGTCCAGGAGCTCCATCGAAGGCCCAACGATATGCGTCCGCATGCTTGGTCCACGCAATTTGGGCGCACCCCTCACACGCTTTGTGGCCCCATAAGGGGGCTTTACTGATGGCCCCAGCTCCAACAATCGCATGCGTGACCGCGCCCATTCTGGCGCAGCCCTCACACGCTTCGTGGTCCCATAGGGAGCTCCACATAAGGCCCCAGTGGCAGGACTCACGTTCGTGACTGCGCCAACTTCGGCACATTCCTCACACGTTTCGTGGCCTCGTGGGGAGTTCCACCGAAGGCCCCGCCGCATGCTGCCCCCTGGGGCCGCGCCCACAGACGTCCGGATCCTGGTCGACCCGACCCCATCAGCAACGTCGCTCCGTCCTTCTCATCCGCGCGTTAGTCCTTTTCCTGGCTCCTTTCCTTCACTTCCACCGGCCTTGCGGTACTCGCAGCTGCATATTGTTGGGTCCTTCGTGAGGCGAATCTGGTTCTATGTCTTGTTGGCAGGGATGGTAGGCCTGCACACAGCAGGCAGTATGACGGCCCCCCCTCCGCCCCTGTCCAACACCAATTCAAAATGATCGCGGGGCGTCCGCGCATGATCCCGATGTTGGTGCAAAGTGCACTGTGTGTGTGTGCTGTTTGTTGCAAGGCATGGTTGGGGGGGTGGGCACTGCACACAGCAGGCAGTATGCAATGTGGGCATTGCTTGCTGTGGGCATTGCCCCTCCGCCGTCCCCGCCAAAGCCAATGTAAAGTGATCGCGGGGCGTTCGCGCATGATCCAGATGTTGGTGCAAACTGCATGTTCTATTGTTCTTGTCCGCAGGGGGGATGGGGGGGTGATTATTGCCCACAGCAGGCAGCACGCCGCCACCCAAACCGTCCCCGTCGAAATCAGATGCAAAGTAGTCGCGGGGCGTCCGCGCATGATCCAGATGTTGGTGCAAAGTGCGTTACGTATTGGGTCGCGGAGGGGCGGCCGCATGCTCTCCAGTTTGTCGCCGGTCGGATGGATGAGGGGGTGTACACAAAGATGGAGTTGTGATGAGCCCCTCCCTCGAGCAGGGGAAGGAGGGATTTGGAGGAGGAAAGTAAAGGACTCGTGATACCGCATTCGCCGAAAGGGCTGACGGGATTGTTTCTGACTGAGGATTGAGGACTCTAGAGGGCCTGAGGACCCTCCACTCAGTGCTTCGCGGCACGGAGGCGGATCAGTTACACAATTCTGTTTGCGTTTGGTCGCTGGTATTGTCAGCGCTCGTTGTTGTGATCTTGGGCTTCCTCCCCAGCACCTCCATCATCTGCGCCACCCCGACATCCATCCCCGTATGTTATCTCCGCCCCCGCCCCAAAGTCCGCCTCCAGCTCGACCTCGACCCCCACCAGCACCCGCTCGGCCACGACGCTGAGAGAAGGGCCGCTCTGGGCCTACATGCCGGTCGTTAAAAGTAGGTAGTAGGTACTTTGGGAGATCTCAGATCCCAATCTACGTCTGGCTCCTCCCTACTTCAAGGATCGACTGGTTTCCTTCTTCTCTCCTCTCAGGGGGCGGGCGGAAGCCCAATCTGCTGCAAACGCTTTCCTACTTCATGTTTCTACCCACCTCTTCCGACCCGCGTGTAGGGGGGGGGGCTCTGGCTTCCAGGGCCGTTCTTTCACAAGCCCAATCGTGGAACCCCTCCGCGGCCGAGGCTGGCCGGGGCCAGGGGAGCCTCATTCGTTCTTTCTTCCGCGTTCCTAGCGGCAGCACGATGGTTGTACCCATCGGTCGTTGAAAGTAGGTATTTGTGGGTTCCCAGATTCCAATCTACTTTAAGCGCATTCCTACTTCAATGATCGAGTGGCTTCACCTTTTCCCTCCTTCGGGGGCGGGCGGACACCCAATCTACTTTCAACGCCTCCCTACTTCCTGTTTCTACCTACTTGTTCCGACCCCTCAACCTCTAGAGGTTCCGCTGCACGACGCTACGTTGTAGCATGAGGTTTGCCCGAGAAAAAACTCGGGCTGCTCCACTCCCCAACCTCCGTCACCTAGAGTCAGATCTCATAGGAACGTTGCACTGCTTCGTCAATGCCACCCTTGGATCCCTGCTTCTTCGGCCCATCCTGAGCCAGTGTCGACGTCCAAGGAGCTCTAAATGAGCGACGAAGGAACACGTGTTCGTCAGCGCCGACAGTTGCGCGTAAATTGCCCGCACAGGGTCGCGCGTCAGCCGTCTCGTTGCCCAATGTAGCGTGCCGCGCTGGCAGTGCGCGTTAGCCACCGCCTAAGGTCGCTGTGCCATCTCGCGTAAGACACCTTGTTCGTCGACATGCGAATGGGGCTTCCAAGGGCCTTGCATGTTTCGGGTAGGAGACCGACCACCGAATTGATGCACACCAAAATTACAGTGTGCGTAGCATCTGCAGAACATTCATGTTCTACATGTGTCGCTGATACGTTATACGTATGTGTCGCAGGCTCAACAAATTCTGTAATGGAACCACTTCCTGATGTTTTGCATATCCCCACCAGCCGCTTGCCTTTCGTTTCCTGCTGCTTAGTCGGGGCTCGACTAGTGTTCGGACGGCTTTCGACCCGCCTCGCGAGCCTGTTGACCAAAAGTATCCCCACTAGCCCATTCAGAATAATATCGCCAGGCGAGTTGCTTTGATCAGGGGGGTGTAGAGGAGTGCAGTGCAACAACCGCTTTGGAGGCGTTTTCTCGGAGGTCCCTTCGAGCCACCGTGGGGTGTTCTTGGGTTCCTCGCGGAACCTCTTCGGGCACATTTGAGGCCTGATTTCGGTTCTCTTGGGGCCATCTTGGAGTGCGGTGGGGGGGGTCTAGGAGGCCTCTTGGGGCCATGTTAGCCCCCATGACTCTAATCGAGAGGGGGCGGGAAGTTCAGGTCCCCCCTTGGGAGGCTCAACAATGGCGTTTGAGACCCTCTTGGGGCGCTCGTGGGCGCTCTTGGGATTGCCTTGGGCTCTCGTGGGCCTTCTTGAGGCCACCATGAGGCCTCAAGGGCCCCTCGGAAGCGAAACGGCGAGAAAAAAGCACAGCACATTGGTTGCCCCTGTGTTTTAGAGCAAGTTTGGCATCTTGGGGGGGTCCTTGGAGGGCTCGGAGGGCACCTGAAACCGTCGTGGGGCCGTCGTGAGGCCTCATAGATTTGAGTCGGAGGCTATCTTGAACCATCTTGAGGTATATCGAGCCATCGTTGACCACAGATTGCGCTCTCAGAGGCCCTCCTGGGGCCATATTGGGCCATCGTGGACGCTCTAATCCCGTCGCGTAACCCTTTCCCTCTCCCCCTAGCCGGGGAATGAGGGGGCGTAACCCTCTCCCCTAGCAGGGGAATGAGGGGGCGTTTGCAGAGAGAAGGCACAATTCGTTAAACCACCTACGCCCAGAAGGCTGGTGGGGTTATGTAGTTGATTCCCACTCGAATCCTTACCTTGCATCCTTCCTACGGATGTTGACTGCAGCCCCCTGTCGAGACCCCCGTAGGCCGCGCGCGACCCCGCGTGCCCCAGGAGAGATGATCGAGCAGGCGTTCCAGGCGCCCACCTCGAGGGTGGGTGCGGAGGGGAAGGTGGAGGTGGAGGAGAGGAGAATAAGGAGGAGGGGGAGGAGGATGAGGAGGGGGAGGAGGAGGAAGGGGAGGTCGGAGGAGCACGTGATGATGATGATGATGATGCTGATGTTGATTGTGATGATGATGATGATGATGATGATGATGATGATGATGATGATGATGATGATGCTGTTGATTATGATGCTGATGCTGATGATGATGTTGATGATGATGTCGATGTTGATGCTGATGACGATGATGATGGTTCTGATGATGTTGATAATGATGGGGATGCTGATGATGCTGAGTATGTTGATGGTGGTGAAAATGAACATGAACGTGATGGTGATGATGATTATGATGATGATGATGCTGACGCTGATGCTAATGATCACGCTGGTGATGATGGTGACAATGATGATAATGATGACGACGTTGGTGATGATGATGATGCTGATGCTGATGATGCTGATGCTGATGCTGATGCTGATGATGCTGATGATGACGATGATCACGATGATGCTGATGCTGATGCTGATGATGATGCTGATGATGATGATGATGCTGATGATGATGATGCGTCTCATTTTGTTCAGGATGAACATGAACAGGAACGTGATGGTGATAACGATTATGATGACGATGATGATGATGCTGATGCTGATGCTAATGATCATGCTGGTGATGATGATGACAATGATGAGAATGATGACGACGTTGGTGGTGATGATGACGCTGATGATGATGCTGATGATGATGATGATGCTGATGCTGGTGATGATGATGACAATGATGATAATGATGACGACGTTGGTGGTGATGATGATGATGCTGATGATGATGCTGATGATGATGATGCTGATGCCGATGATGATGATGATGATGCTGATGACGATGATGCTGATACTGATGCTGCTGATGATGATGATGATGCTGATGATGATGATGCGTCCCATTTTGTTCAGGATGAACATGAACAGGAACGTGATGGTGATGACGATTATGATGACGATGATGATGATGCTGATGCTGATGCTGATGCTGATGCTAATGATCATGCTGGTGATGATGATGACAATGATGATTATGATGACGACGTTGGTGGTGATGATGATGCTGATGATGCTGATGATGATGATGATGATGATGCTGGTGATGATGATGACAATGATGATAATGATGACGACGTTGGTGGTGATGATGATGCTGATGATGATGCTGATGCTGATGCCGATGATGATGCTGATGATGATGATGCTGATGCTGATGCCGATGATGATGATGATGCTGATGATGATGATGATGATGATGATGGTGATGGTGATGATGATGATGATGATGATGATGATGATGATGATGATGATGATGGTGATGATGATGATGATGATGCGTTCCCATTTTGTTCAGGATGTGCCAGAGTTCCACACCTCGAAAAACAACGAACTGCATCAGCATAGACTTGTGGAGCTCCGCGCAGATTTCTTGGATCTGAGGTGGGCCCCCCTGGCGGCGCCAGAGCCGCCCCTGGCGCTCTCCGCGCGCCAGGGAGTGGGTTCCAGCACCGATCCAAGACATCCACGCGTTTCGTCGAAAGTTCATGCTTACGTGTTTTTGTCCTCCTCTGCTGACATGCCGAACGGGCTGCAGAGGCGAGAGCCGCTAAATCCTGCAGGAAATCCCACAACCTATCCTGGGCCACTCCTATCATGACATCCGTCCCGTCCGGGGCGGGTAGGGCTCCGCCCGCCCCCGCTCCGGGCTGCCCCCCCCCTCCCCCTTACCTGGAATGTTTGTTTTGTTCTCTTCTCATGTCAGGGGATGCCGAGAGTGGGGTGGTGCTTCTAAAGGGGGGGAGCACCATTGCCAGGGCCATGAGATATCATCCTTGGATTGTGTGGCGCCACCCTCGTGTTTCAATGCGTCCCAGTTGGGCTCCCCTGGGCCGCGCACGGACCTCGCGCCGGGATCTGCATACCGCCCTCCTGGACACGAGGGCGCGAAGTTGTTCGCAGTTCGCGGTTGGCGATGTCCTCCTCGTCTTCGGCGTCTTTTTTTCCTTCTCCCCTGGGGGAGGCGGCGCGAGAGCGTGGCGAAGTTATTTGCGCTTGGCGCAGCGCGAAATGCTTGCATAGCTGCCCTTACAGACTGGACAGCATCCGTGGGCCGATCGTGGATCTTCCCGGTGAGTGTTGCACCGCGTTTCTAGTGAGACATCTCGTTTGGGCGAGGATAAGTTGTGGCAGGGTGTGGGGGAGGTCCAGGGGGGAGAAGGACAGGGGGTCAAACAAACAGCATGAGAGATGAGAGAGGGCAGGATATGGGGTCGGAGAGGAGCGGCGAGGGATCAGATTTCATGGCTGAGTGTCAAGCCAGAGGCGCGCTGGCCAGTACCATATCTGATATCCTATCCCTCCCTCCCATCCCTTCTCATTGTGCTGATAATTTCTCTATCCGCGGACGCGTGTCATAGCCGGCCTGGAGCTCTAAAAAAGATACATGATGTCATGCGCAATCGTCAAAGGGGGCTGGGTGCACAGGAGGAACAGGGAGGGAGGGAGGGAGGGACGGGAGGAGGAGGAGGAGGAGGAGGAGGAGGAGGAGGAGGACTGACTGCGCGGACGGAGAGGGCCAAAGCGGATCTCGACGCCTTGCGGTGTCGTGCCGTGGAGCGGGGCTCGCATCGGGCCGTCCCCGAGCCTCGCCCCACTCTCGCACGCATTGGCAGCCCAGCTGCCACCTCCTGCGTCCCCTTCTCGCACGAGTTGCATCCAGCACTGTAGCCAAAGATGGCCGTCTCGAGCTGATATTGGGCTCAAGCTTCGCCCCCCGCGTCTCGCAAGAGGCTGCCCCAGCGCTCTCGACGATATTGGGCTCTAACTTCACCTCCCGCCTATCGCAAGAGGCTTGCCACAGAGCTCCCCCCTGTCATTTCGCGCTGAGGCCATCGAGGTGCACCGTACCACTGCCCCGATTGTCGACCCTGCACATCTCACACGCGCTGTTTCTAGCGGATTAGCTAAACGAGACCATCAAGTTCCATCTTCACCTCCCGCTTCTCACAGCCGTTTTCCCACAACGACAGCGTCCGTTGCCACTCCGTGCCCCACTGCCTGCCTTTGCGCACGCGCGGATCCCAGAACTGTACCTGGGGACGTCCGCTCCTGCAGCTTCGCCTCTCGCTTCTCTCAGCGCGCTGTGGTAGCTAGGATGATGACAGTGGGCTCCAACTTCGCTTCCCGCTTCTCACAGTGCGCTGTGAGAGTTCGGAAGACGCCATCGGGCTCCAATTTCACCCCGTGCCTCCCGCAGAAAGGTGCCGTGCTCGCCGCGCGCCGCTCACCATCTCCCACAGGCCCAGATCCCGACGCGGTAGCTGGTCACGTCGGACTCTATCGCCGCGTCCCTCGTCTCGCCGGGTGGCGTCGGAGCCATGTGGTGCTCAGCCTTTTCGCATGCCCTGGTCTCAGCACTGAAACTGACGACGTCGGGCTTGTCCTTGGCCTTCCACCGCTCGTCCCGTAGCGTTCGTGGGGTTAGGGGTAGGAGGAGGATAGGATTGGGCTTCAACTTTGCCTCCCGCTTCTCGCCTTGGGTTTCCCCGATCCCCACGCTGTAGTTGATCGCGTCGGGCTCGGACTTCGCCTTCATCATCCGCCTCGTCCTTCGACGGGCCTGAACGTCGGGCTCCAACTTCGCCACCGGCCTCGCGCGAGTCGTCGTCTAAAGCTGACGACGTCGGGCTCGACCTTCGGGTGGCTTCTCGCATCGGGCTCCTCCTTCGCCAGCTGCGCTCGTCTCGTCGAGTGTAGCTGATGGCGCCGGGGTCTTCTTCGTGGCTCGTCGTCGTCGCACTGCAGCTGATGATATCGGGATCGTCATTCGTCGCTCGTCCGTCGCCGTCGCCAGCGCTGTCGCTGTCGTCGTCGGGCTCGGACTTCGCTTTCCGCTGTCGGTCGAATTGCCTTCGCCAGCGGGCCGCACCTCGTCGGTTGTGGCTGATGGCATTGGGCTCGACCTTCGCTTTTGACTCCAGCTCCTTGCCCTTTTCGCAGCGCTGTAACTGATGACGTTGGGCTCATCCTTCGCCGTTCTGGCTCCATCGTCGCCTACCGCTGCTGTCACCTCGTCTGTGGTAGCTGCTGGCTTGGGGCTCGACTTTCGCCTCTGGCGAGGCCTGCATGTTGCGCAAGTGCCTCTCCACTGCTTCTGTGCTTTTTCTCACCTTTGAGGCCAGGTCCTCCTGGGGGAGGGAGGGGCACGGGGCCTCGCTGGTCCTGGCCCAGGTCGTCACCTCCACTGGCACCCCGTCGAGGACCAGGAAATTCTCGCACCTTTGCCCGATGGATCCTTCGCGATGCAGAAAAGAGGGCGGCGGGGCAAGAGGAGACGGCGGGGGCAAGAGAGGCGGGGACATCGCGGCTCGCGATGGCGGCCCGCGGGGGGGCAGGGCCACTGCGAAGTTGGACCCCCGCAACACGGGGCCTCCCTGCCCCGGGCGAAATGGCTAGGAGGAGGAGAAGGAGGAGGAGGAGAAGAAGGAGGAGGAGTAGGAGGAGGAGGACTGGGAGGAGGAGAAGGAGAAGGAGGTTGTTTGTGAGCAGGAGGGCAAGCAGGGGGAAAAGGGAGAGGCTGAGGAAGGATGAGGACGAGGACGAGCAGCAGCAGCAGGAACTGGAGTGGGAGGAGCTGGAGGAGCAAGAGGACTCTGGGAAGGCGGAGGAGGAGAAACGAGAGGGGCGACCGCGATGAACAGAAGAACTCGCCCGCGCTGGGGCGAGAGCGCCATTCGGAACGACGTGGGCAGAGCGTCGATCCGAAAACGAGGCCCACGCTGCAGCAGGAGCACCATGCTGAGGCACCGGAAACAATCGGACTGTAAGAACACGTGGAAGAACAATTCGGTCCTTGTGGGAACCAATACGCGGATGGGGGCCGGGGTCAGGGAAGAGAAAAGGAGAATGTTCAGATTGTGCACGAGACTGTACTTGTAGAGGGCAGGCGAGACTATGTAATAGACAAGATAGAGGAGGTATTAGAGACAAGAGATGATAGATAGCTGATGGAAGAGGATAGAGGGGAGAAGAGCAGCGTAGTAGATGAGCACTTGAGGAGGGCAGCATGAGGGGAGATCGGCGAGGACGAACGGGGAATGGTAAGCATGAGGGGAGTGAATGAGCTCGGGCCGACGATGAGGAAACGGAGGGCGGAGGATGAGAAGGAGAAGGAGGAGGAGGAGGAGGAGGAGGAGATGGAGGCGGAGGAGATGGAGGCGGAGGCAGGTGGGAGGGGGACGGAGGGCCGTGGCCGCTGTTAGGGAATGGGGATGGCTGGGGGGGGACCCTCTCATCCGACGTTGCATCATTTTTTCCCGACGACGGCCCCCTCAAAATGGGGGTCTCGCTTTGGCGCCTCGCACACTCGCCTAAAGAAAGCAAACCGCCTCACAAATGGAAGGCCGTTCCTTATCAGAGTGGGACTCTCGCCTGAGACCACCCAAAAACCTGGTACCGCTGGGGAGACATCAGACCGCGACTCTCAAGATTAGGCCGCCTGTCTCACAAGTTCAGGCCGTCATTATCTGAAGCGTAGGCGTCAGATCGGGTTTCCGGGGAGGCTGGGTTGGGCGGGGGGGGGGCAGGACGGAGCAAGGATCGATGATCCTCAGGACGTGTGTTAGCCCAATGTCTGTTCGCTCCCCTCAGCACCGCCGAGCGCACGCAGCCAGTGTCGCCGCGAGTCGCCCTCTGTAACACCACCTGCGTAATTAGTCCCTGAGATCCGACGCGACGGAAGAAATACAACATCGTGAAACATCGCTACCGGATTTTCGTGCACGATGCAGCGATGTTGCATCTTTCCGACACGTCGGATCTCAGGGACTACGGAGCAGTCCGCAGACTACTACTGGGTCTCATGGCCCCATCAACGCCCGCAGCCCCACACCCCATCCTTTCGGGGGAGCGTAAGACCTGGGTTTGCCAGGACTCGGGTTCGCCATCGTTTTTTGACGACCGCGCCTCGGATTTTGACGAGGAGGAGTTTCGTGGGATGTCTGCAGCGGGAGGCCTCGTCAAAATGCAGGCTCGGCCTCGTCATTTTTGTTGACGACCTCGTCGGGCCAACCCGAGTCCCCCGTACCCGGGTCTTACGTCTCCCCGATCCTTCTGCGGCGTTTCCCGAGCCGGATCGAGGCGTGGTGGTCCCGGGGCCCGCAGCCGGGCGACAGCGCCCGGGGTGAAAGAGCTGCAACGCCAGGATCTCAGGGGTGTCGAGGGGCTCCGGTGGCCAAGCACACATTGGCGTTGACACACACACACACACACACACACACATATATATATATATATATATATATATATATATATATTTTTTTTAACAGCCGCAGGCAGGAAAGTCAACCCAGGGATTCTGACGGGTATGAGCAGACAGGGCTGGTGACGCGATCCTGCAGGAAAGTACTCTGACAGCGCCATCGAACCGAAAACACACACACACACACACTCGGAGGGCCGTGGACAGGAGTGCTGAGTCTTCACGGTGCTTCTGGGCAGAGGTTCCGAGTCTGAGCAGTGGTCCTGCCTGTGCGCGACACTGCCCGCGCGGGCATGTCTTGGAGGCGTGTTGACAGAGGAGGAGGGGGAGGAGGAGGAGGCGGAGGAGGAGGAGGCGGAGGAGGAGGAGGAGGAGGAGGAGGAGGAGCCTGCGGCACAAAGCAGACGACGAGAGGCGTGCCGAGGGCCGTCGGCGGGGCGGGCCCGCCCCGCCCGCGCGGGCCCGAGGGGCGCGCGCGGGCCAGGAGCAGCTCGAGAGGCTGCGGCTCCGCAAGCTGCTGAGAGGCCCCTCCGGCCACCAGCCGAAGGCGCCCCGCCGCCCCGGCGCGGGGGCGGCTGCTTGGCATCGCTCGGACGTGTGCATTTTTTCTCGGCGAGAGCCATCGAGGAGCATCTTTGGCCATCGAGCAAAACAAAAAAAACACGCACGAAACCGAAACATGCACGGGAAAGGGACGTCCGAGCGACGGCAAGGCTGGGGCGGGCGGGGCGGGAGGCTCGGGCCGGACGAGAGGGGGGGATTGGGAAAGGGGGGGGAAAGAGGGGGGTGATGACTAGGGGGGGGGGGGCGGATATCATGGCGGGGGCCATGATGTTGCCCCAGATCTCATGGCGCCTCTTCTTATTTCATTACGTCCCTGGCCCCCCCCGCTGGGCCGCGCACATGCCGCCGGTCATGATTTGCGCGCCCCCCTCTTGGCCGCTCCCGATCGGGAAAGGGGTTACGAAATCTGCTGCATGCAGCTGTTTCCGGCCCCACCGAGCACCGAGGGGCCCATTCCTCGATACATAGCCGCCTCCGGCGCCGGGAGGCGCCAGGAAAATCAGCTACGTGAGCTGATTCTCAACCCCCCCTTTGCTATCCCCCCCTTTCGCCCGACCCGAGAGGAACGGGGGCGGCAAAGAGGGGGCTGATGATTAGGGTGGGGGATATTGTTGGCGGGGGCCACGAGATCTCCCCGGATTTCATGGCGCCTTCTCTTATTCGATCGCTTCGCTCATTCCGCCGGCCCGTATTGTAGCATCGCTGGCACTTGCTTGCGTGCTCGGGGGGACATTTGGGGGGCCTCCTGGGGCCGCATGGGGACCTCTTGGGGGCCTCTTGGGGGCCTCCTGAGGGCCTCTAGGGGCCTCTTAAGGGCCTCTTGGGGCCTCCTGGGGGGCTTCTTGGGGCCGAGGGCTCAAATTTTGTTTCCTGTTCACCCTCTGGGGCCCCTCTTGGGGCATTCTTGGGTCCCTCTTGGGCCATCTTGGAGGCCTCTTGGGACGTCTTGGAGCCCTCTTGGGCCGTCTTGGGGCGGGCCCTCTTGGGTGCCTCTTGGGCCCTCTTGGGGCGATCTTGGGGGCCTCTTGGGCCGTGTTGGTGCGTCGGGGAGCCGAAAACATGGAAACGCCAAAATTTGTCCAAAACCTAAGGAAAAAACATTGAGTGTTGCCTCTTGGGGCCCTCTTGGGAGTGCTCTTCGAGGCATCTTGGGACTTCTGAGGGCCATCTTGGGCGTCTTGGAGCGAGCTTGTGGCATCTCCGAACCTCTTGTACCGTCTTGAGGGCCTCTTGGACGCCTCTTGGCCCTTTTTGGGGGCTCTCTGCGCGCAGAACCTCGAGGGCGGCGCCCGGGAGGAAAACCATCACCCGAGTCTGCCGGGACCGTCTCGGGGTGCTTCTCGCCTGGGGAACCCCAGGGGCCGCCCCGCGAGCGCGAAGCAGAAATATTGCAAAGCAGTCGCTGGAGATCTTAGCACGCCTCTGGCCCGTTGGGCCAGCGAATTTGAATGCGTCCCCCCCCCCCCTGGGCCGCGCGCGTGCCGCCGCCCATGGTTTGCGCTCCCCCCGTCTTCTGGGCGACCCTCCCTTGGACGCCCCCCAGTGGAGCGCATACCGCTACCCTCGCCCCGCGTTCGCATTTCTGGATTTCCTCGGAGGCCCTCGTCGCCACCGCTGGATTCGCTTCGAAATTCTGGTCAGAGCGCACCCCGGAAATTGTCCGGGGAGTTGCGTTATCGGTACCTTTTAGTTTCCCCAGGAGCGGGGAGAAGGAGGGGGAGGAGGAGTGGGAGGAGGAGGACGATTAGTGCAAGCCCCAGATTACAAACAATGTTGCAATAACCCCTCCCAAGTGCCCTGTTCAATATGCTCCTAGAAGATTCGAGCTTCCCTGCTGGAAGAGCCCCGTTGGAAGATAACCGTTTGAAACTCTTCAACCGTGTCAAAGCACCATTCTTGGAATTTCAACGCCGCGAATCAACGTCATTGTTGCGACCTGACGGCCCTAAAATCGTGTCAGAATACCATTTCTCAGACGCCAACGCCATGAACCAACGCGACTGTCACACCCTGACAAGTCTAAATCGTGACAATACATGTTCCTGGAACATCAACCAGAGGACCCTTTGAAACTGCTGTAAACTGAAGACGAATGTGCGCGGCGCTAAGGCGAAAGCGGCAGTCTGGAAAGGTATTGCCCTCCATCCGCGAAGGTCTTGCAATTGTTTAGAATGTGCGCGGCGTTGAGGCGAGAGCCACTTTTGGAAAGCCACCCGCCTTCCACCCGTGAAACTCTTCCAATTTTTTGGGACGAATGTGCGCGGCGTGAAGGCGAGAACCACTTTGGAAAACCACCCGCCCTCCACCCTCGAAACTTTCCAAATGTCTAGCAAATGCCCAGGGAGTCTCAGGCGAAACACCCTGCCCGCTCTACCGACCCGTCTCGGGGTGCGATTGGAAGGATTACTCATACGGACGAGGGATGGAAGAGAATGGTGAGCTTCGAGGTTTTCGGACTTCTTCGTTGTTCCCCGGCCGCGGGGCGCGTTTCAGCAGCTGCGCCTCGCCGAGGGTGGTCAGGGGGTGTCAGGATCGTCTCGAGCGGCCGCTAGAGACCCGAGCTTTGGACCGAACATTGAGCGATGGAGTCGGGTGCGAACGTCGTGAAGTAGAAGGGGGTGAAGACGAGTGGCACGAGAAGTAGAAGACGCGGAAGAGGGCGAGGAGGAGGAGGAGGAGGAGGAGGAGGAGGGGGCAGGAGGACGAGGAGGAGAAGGAGGAGGAGGAGGAGGAGGAGGATCCCTTGCCGAACTCAAGATTTTATACGAAAGGGGCGGGTATCACGACCCTCCCAGACGAGCAGTTTCGGACCCCCGTCCACTCGGGAGACCTCCTCGGACCTCTTCGCCAGACCCCGGCCTGCCCTCCAGGCAGCTCAAACCAAACCACCCCCCACCCCCCCGAAGTCATCCCCCCGCTTTCGTTTTTGTGATCAGAACCAGAGTCGCCATGTTGGCTCAAGCCATGTTCGTTTCATTCCGCACCGCTTAGCGGCTTTATGAAACGTGAGTGCGCGTCTGGATTGGCACGGTCTGACACGTGGAGTTGCGAGACGTATCCAGGAAGACGGGCTGCATGTTGCCAAGTACAGAGATGGCGTCTGTCACGAAAGTGCCAGGATGGCACATGCGCGATGTGCTTCCGAACGGAGTTGCTGATTGAGATTGGAAGGAAGACGCGATGGGGCATGCAGCTTGATGGATCTGATGCTGTGGTAGTTGTCTTTTCGGGGGCATACAGAAACAAGTGTAAGCCCGGGCCTTGGCTGCGCTTGTTTGACAGAGGCCAGGCGTATCCGCCTCCTCCAGCCCAGGAGGACAGGTCGAGGCCGACTCGGGCTGAGAGGCTGGCCCCCCGGGGAGGTGGTTGAGATCCCCCCCCCGAAAGGGGCTCGCGTCGCGAGCAAAAAGTTGCTCGGGGAGCCCTAGGCGGTGGGGGGGTCTGAGAGGTGGCCCAGCACCGGTTCCGGCCAGCAGGAAGGGCAGGCAGGTTCGAGGTTTTGGGATCGGCAGGGTAGATATTTTGCCATGTTCGGCCCCGTTTTCGGGCCCCGGGACCGTCAACAACAGATGTGTTTTGAAAGTTGCACCAGATGAACCCCAAAAAGGGTCTTGGGGCAGATTTTGAGCAGATTTGGCGTCACCCCCCCTCGTGAGTCAGTTGGGATTCGGAGTGGCCGTGCGGTTTTGGGATTCGGGTCGTTCTCCGTGGATGTTTCGGCCAGCTGGGGCCTCCGAGATCCCACAACGTTGCGGTGACAGACCGTGCGGTCACCGCATGGTCTGTCACCGCACCGTTTCGGGATGCCCTAGTTGCGGCGTCGGAGGAATGGGTGCAGTCAGAGCGTTGCAGTCAGAAGCGCTTTTTCCTCGCATGAGAGGCCCTGGGGTGCCTTGGGAAGGGCACTGGTCGTTCCCCCAGGAGCTTCTCGTGAATCTGAGCACAACCCAGGCCACTCCATTCTGTGCACAGGAGGACCCTTTGGCAATTTGCAAATGAATCAGCATATTATCGGAAAGAGGGCCACATATCATTAAGACGCCTGAGAGGAATTAGAGAGGTCTTCAGGCAATTGTTTTGGAAATTCTGCGAAGTCTTATTTTATAGATGTAGGTTGCACGGATGCGCCCACGGACTAAAGACATGCAGGGTAATGCCATGACGAATCCCTGGACCATCACGTCTACGTCGCTTTGAAGTTACGAATGGGTTGCGTAGGGCTTGTGATGGAACGCATGGTCACATTGAATCCAGGGGGTAAGTGTAAGATATCGGACAACTATACCGACGACCTTGCTAGACAGATGCACTTGCTCTTGCCCGAGCATCGAATGTGCCCTGCAACGTTTCCCCTCGATCACGAAATGCGTATTCCGCCGCGGCCGTTTCGGCCCAAAGGCTCGTAGTCAGAGCGTCTGACAGCCTGCAACCCCCGCCGCCCCCTGGGCGGCCGCGACTCCCTCACTCTTGTTGCTCTGCTGCATAGTCCCTTGTTTGTGCCACTCTCGTTCGCGGGCTGATCAAGAGGATGCCGGGGCTCAGCAAACATGCCATGTTTGCGCATGCGGCCCCTGTTCAACAGGAGATGCATTAACGCAAATCAAATTGGAAAAGTCGGCGCAATGATTGTGGGCGGAAGGAAAATGATCGGTGAAGTATCGGAAAAGTGTCGGCCCAATGGGATTCGGTGGTCAACGTGCGGAACGTTCACAGGTTCTTCGACATGGGCGAGCAAAAACTTCCTGGCCATCTCGGGCCGCAAATAGTGGGGTCCAGCAGCCGGCGACAACACAGTAATTTGAAGTTTCCGAATTTTGACGTTGAACCTCCAGCAGAAGAGTTTTGAAAAATGGCACAAGACAGTGGGTCGGCAATTGGATAAGTCCTTCCACAACTGCGTTTCTCTTCTCCAAGAGGTTTTTTTGGGGCCGTTTGTGAGCATGCAGGCGATTTCGTTTTTTCGGAAGCGGGCGGAGACCTGCG